TATATTTGTTGGATAATTACTCTGTATCCAAAACACTTAGAATGACTTTCCTGAATATTGAAGTTGTTTACAGCATAGTAAACATGCTTATAGAAATACATAATCAGTCATATGTCCATGTAGTTTTTTTTGGTTAAACTTATTTATAGCAGTGATTTTTGGGAAGGTTGTATAGATATTCTAATATATGGAGTGGTTTTGCATAACTCCCTAAGCCCCCTTGGAACTGCTTTAAGGATCTACATGTGATGACTTGTCTTTATGTGCTGTGATCATAGTCTAAGCATGTACCAGTTCTTGTACTCCAGGGATGACTCCAAATTCTTTACATAACTGTTTGTTTTAAGTTGTTAGTGCTCTTTGTGTGATTGAATTTTTCTGAAACATGTTATGCCTAGACGAGATTGAGATGCTATACTTCTGCTAGTTTGTTCTATGTGGACTTTGTGGACTGCCTGGGTACATGTTTGAGTTGAAATCTCATTTGTGTCTAAACCTCTAAAGAGGAGTGAGGTTCGGTACTTAAGGATGATTGGTGTGTTCTTGACTTTATTTTTGAGGAACCCCTCCCTAACATAAGCATTGTTCGGGGTCCAAGAGGCCCTCGTGAACTCTAAGTGTCAGGGGTCCATAGGGGAATCTCATGAGTAAATAAGGTTCACCCTATGCCCATAAGTGCTTACCTTAACTAATCTTCATGGGAATAGCATAAATGCAATTTGATTTAGGTTATTGTGTATGGTCAAAACCAGTTCTCAGTCATAAAGACTGGTCGAGACAATGACGTTTCAATCGAAGGGTAACCACACGACATGCTCGGACGAATTCCGAAGTAGGGGCGTCGAGCTTCGAACTATAAGACCAATCGACGGCAAAACTCGATATCGTTATCGAGCCCATGTCCAAATCGAACTACGGGGAAACACCGATTGATACAGGCCCCGAATATCGATGCCCAAGGTAGAATCGAGCTCGAACCAAGACTGGGGGTTCGATCTAACACCGAACTCGAGCCCGTGCTAAGTTCGCAGACAAGAGCCGTTACAACCGCACCGAGGGAGAGAATCTTGGCAGGAATCAAGGCAGAGACAAACCATCATGGGTCCTCCACTATATGTATTATTTTATTATGTTATTATAGATAAAGCAGTGATCCTCTACTATAAAAAGGGAGATGGACTGCAATAGACAGGGCTCCGGGAAGAGACATGGAGATTTCATTGTGCTTGTTTTCTTTAACTTATTCAGTCTTCCTGTTCATTATTCCCACTTTATAGTGAAAATATCTGTATTATCATTTTGTATCAAAGGAATTTGCATATCCTTAGAACCGCATCTAAATTTAACGTTATCTGATTTTTCGGGTAAATAGTTTGGCGTCCATCGTGGGGCTAAGGGTAACAGTGATCGTTTGATATAAACCTAAAGTACACGCCAGTTTGCAACTTCAAATCAGCAATGGCTTCACCTATCGACCACGAAGCCGGCCTTCAAGATGAAACCAACAACTTGGCGCCCGGGGCCGAAAGGTCATTCGATGAAGGCGCTGAGGCTCGTATCGAAGCACCCGAAATTCGATCCCAAGTATCATTGGATGTCAATTCACAAATAGCTCTAGAGGGGAATCAGCATTCCGAATCGGAAAGAAGCATTCAGGGCGGTACTCGATCCATAGCTCGAGACGCCCATAACGAGGAGGAGATCGGAGTCAGCTTACGGATGATCTTCGAGATGTTACAAGCCCAACAAATAGCGATAGCTCAGTTGCATAGCCAAACTCAGGTGCAAAGCAGGCCGGAGCCCAATCCGCTTCGAGATGTCACCCACATAACGGAACCAGCCATAGAGAAGCTAAATGAGCAAGAATCGGGGACTACTCCCGAAATTACTAAATTGCTCGAGGAACTCACAAAACGAGTCTAAACCAATGATAAAAAAGTAGAAACATATAATTCCAGGGTCGACCAGATCCCGGGGGCTCCACCAATGATAAAAGGGCTAGATTCGAAAAAATTCATTCAAAAGCCTTTTCCCTCTAGTGCAGCCCCAAAACCAATCCTCAAAAAATTCCGTATGCCCGAAATACCCAAATATAACGGAACGACCGACCCCAACGAGCACGTCACTTCTTACACGTGTGACATCAAGGGCAATGACATGGAAGATGATGAGATCGAATCTGTATTATTAAAAATATTCAGTGAAACCCTGTCAAAGGGAGCAATGATATGGTATCATAATTTACCATCTAACTCCATTGATTCTTTTGCTATGCTTGCAGATTACTTCCTAAAAGCTCATGCCGGAGCCATAAAGGTCGAAACCAGAAAGTCGGACTTGTTCAAGATAATACAAAAGGATAACGAGATGCTAAGGGAGTTCGTAGCTCGTTTTCAAATAGAACGAATGGATCTTCCACCAGTCACAGACGATTGGGTTGTTCAAGCTTTCACTCAAGGTCTAAATGAGCGGAGCTCGACGGCTTCGCCGCGGGTGAAGCAAAATCTGATCGAGTACCCAGCTATTGCTTGGACCAATGTGCACAATCGATATCAATCCAAAATAAGAGTCGAAGATGACCAGTTGACTTCTACGTCCATTATGAAAAAGCAAAAGTCGACCAGAGATCGATACCAGCCATATAGTGGAAACGATACTACTACTGAGTATTCGAGTCCTCTTTAAAATCAACCTCGTACACAGGGGGGCTTTATCCTTGAACGCATCTGTGACGATTATCAAGTTCGGTGCAAAGGAAGTTACTTCGTTATTTCATGACAAACAGTGTCTCAACGGGAAACGTTGTAAGGGCCAAACAGTCAAAACGAACCATGCTTATATAGTTGGCCCGAGCCCTGACGCAAAACATGAACCCATGTGTAATGACCTGCAAAGAAAGCTCTCTTCTTTACCGATATTCTATGTTCAAGATTTATTATGCAAACAGGATCGAGTTCGAATCATTCGCTCGATTGCCAAGCCTACGGGCTACCTTTATTTCGAGTTCGAGCAATCACTCACTCGACCATTACACCTAAGGGCTACATTGCATCGAGTTCGAATCATTCCCTCGATTGCCAAGCCTACAGGCTACCTTTATTTCGAGTTCGAGCAATCACTCACTCGACCATTAAGCCCACGGGATACTTTGACTATTACACCTACGGGATACATTGCATCGAGTTCGAATCATTCGCTCGACTGGCAAGCCTACGGGCTACCTTTATTTAGAGTTCGAGCAATCACTCACTCGACCATTACGCCTACGGGCTACATTGCATCGAGTTCAAATCATTCGCTCGATTTCCAAGCCTACGGGCTACCTTTATTTCGAGTTCGACAATCACTCACTCGACCATTAAGCCTACGGGATACTTTGACTATTACGCCTACGGGCTACATTGCATCGAGTTTGAATCATTCGCTCGACTGCCAAGCCTACGGGCTACCTTTATTTTGAGTTCGAGCAATCACTCACTCGACCATTACGCCTACGGGCTACATTGCATCGAGTTCGAATCATTCGCTCGATTGCCAAGCCTATGGGCTACCTTTATTTCGAGTTCGAACAATCACTCACTCGACCATTAAGCCTACGGGATACTTTGACTATTACGCCTACGGGCTACATTGCATCGAGTTCGAATCATTCGCTCGACTGCCAAGCCTACGGGCTACCTTTATTTCGAGTTCGAGCAATCACTCACTTGACCATTATACCTACGGACTACATTGCATTGAGTTCGAATCATTCGCTCGATTGCCAAGCCTACGGGCTACCTTTATTTCGAGTTCGAGCAATCACTCACTTGACCATTACGAGTCACTCTTCTTAGTGAGGCTCTGAACCTTGGCATCATGCTCCTCCCTGATTCGGAGAAAAGCCTCGTAATGCAACATCGAAGCCTGCAAACAAAAGGAGAAACATTAGAATTACCTACAACTCTGTGTAAAAGAAGTGGCAAAAATGCCATCAGAAGTTACCCGATTCAAAGCATGTTTGGCCTCGTTGAAAAGATAGGAAGCCCCTCCGTATTCCTCACTGATTGATCTTTTCTAATCACCAAGGACCGGAGGTAACTGGAAATTCCCACAGGGGAGAAAAAATTTGGGTATCCTCGATAAAGTCGGGGACTATAAAGACGCATAAGATGATCGAGCATTACATACGTCATGGTCGGGGTCGATAGAAACATCAGCATAAACTTGATCGAGTCGCAGGGAAATCATATCGTTCCTCGCCACATCCTTTTCGAGAAATGAGGAGACTATCTGTGTACGGTCAAAATTGGTTCTCAGTCATAAAGACTGGTCGAAACAATGACGTTTCAATCGAAGGGTATCCACACGACAAGCTCAGACGAATTCTGAAGTAGGGGTGTCGAACTTCGAACTATAAGACCAATCGACGGCAAAACTCGATATCGTTATCGAGCCCGTGTCCAAATCAGACTACGGGGCAACACCGATCGACACAGGCCCCGAATATAGATTCCCCAAGGCAGAATCGAGCTCGAACCAAGACTGGGGGTTCGATCTAACATCGAGCTCGAGCCAGTGCTAAGCTCGCAGACAAGAGCCGTTACAACCGAACCGAGGGAGAGAATCTTGGCGTGAATCAAGGAAGAGAAAAACTATCATGGGTCCTCCACTATATGTATTATTTTATTATGTTGTTATAGATAAAGTAGTGATCCTCTACTATAAAAAGGGAGATAGACTACAATAGACAGGGCTCCGGGAAGAGACATGGAGATTTCATTATGCTTGTTTTCTTTAACTCATTCAATCTTCCTGTTCATTATTCCCACTTTATAGCGAAAATACCTGTATTGTCATTTTGTATCAAAGGAATTTGCATACTCTTAGAACCGCATCTAAATTTAACGTTATCCGATTTTTCGGGTAAACAGTTATATTTCCTCATATCTCGTTCATATTATTATAAACTTTATCTTACTTTAATTTTTATTATTATTTTGCATATGCTAATTAATTCTTTCTCTTTTCCATTGCATGACTTATTGGGCCTGCCGTTTTCATTGAGAACTTTGGTCCAAGTTTAGAGCCTAGCTGGGCCTGACTAATTTGTCAGCCCAATATGTGAGTCCAGCCTTACTTCCCTTTATCTAAAATAATTGTTGTTGTTATTGTTTTTTGCCATTTTCTGTGTATATGTCTTCGAAGTACTAACACTATTATTAGATATTCATTGTCATCTTAATTGTTTAGGAAAACATTATGCAAACCAAATCTTATAGGTAAAAGGTAACTTTGATCATAAAGTTTATTGGCTTTAACAACCTTTACATTTTTGAATCTAAATATTTTAGGTTGAATATGTGTTCCTAAGGTGGATGGTTTGAGAGAGTTGATTATTGAGGAGGCTCACAGTTCACAGTATTCTATTCACCCAGGTGCTATAAATACGTATCGCGATTTGAAGCAGCATTATTGGTGGAGAAGTATAAATAAGGACATTGTTGAGCATGTTGCGCAGTTTTTGACTTGTCAGGAGGTCAAGTATGAGGATCAGAGACCGAGTGGTTTGCTTCAGAAGTTAGATATATCGTAGTGGAAGTGGGAGCGTATCACTATAAATTTTGTGGTTGGGTTACCACAGACCTTGAGGAGATTTGATGATATGTCGGTTATTGTGGACAGACTGACCAAGACTACACATTTTATTCCGGTCATGACTTCCTTCACTTCTGAGCAGTTGGTTTGAATTTATCTTTGAGAGATTGTTCGCCTACATGGTGTGCATGTGTCTATCATCTAGAATCGAAGTACTCAGTTTATATCACATTTTTGAGAGCGGTGTAGCATGAGCTGGGCACGCAGATTGAGTTGCGTACGATATTTCTCCTCAAACGGACATGCAGTCCGAGCATACCATTCAGATCTTGGAGGATATGATGAGAGCATGTGTCATTGATTTCGAAGGCCAGCGGGATGGGTTTTTACTGTTAGCAGAGTTCTCCTACAACAATAGCTATCAGTCGAGTATCCAGATGGCCCCGTATGAGGCCTTATATGGGACGTGATGTCATTCTCTGGTTGGTCTATTTAAATCGAGGGAGGCTAGATTATTGCGCACTGATCTAGTTTATGATGCATGGGAGAAAGTGATGTTGATTCAAAAGCGGCTTTGTACAACGCAGTCCAAATAGAAAAGTTATGCCGATAGGAAGGTTCACGATGTAGCTTTCATGAAAGGTGAGAGGGTTCTTCGCAAAGTTTCACCTATGAAGGGCGTGATGAGGTTTGGGAAGAAGGGCAAGTTGAGCTCTCTGTACATTGATCCATTTGATGTTTTAGAGGGATTAGGTGAGGTGGCTTATAGGCTTGCTTTTCCATACAACTTATCGGGTGTTCATCCTGTGTTTCATGTTTCCATGCTTTCATGTATCATGAGGATCAGTCATATGTTAGATTTCAGTTCAGTACAGTTGGATGATAACCTGGCTTATGAGGAGGAATCAGTGGCCATTTTGGACAGGCAGGCTCAGAAGCTGAGGTCGAAGGATATTACATTGGTGAAAGTTTAGTGGAGAGGTCAACCGGTCGAGGAGGCAACTTGGGAGACCGAGACTGATATGTGAAGCATATATCCACATCTTTTTGAACTCCGTGTATGTCTCTAAACTCGTTCGAGGATGTTCGAGGACGAACGTTGGTTTAAGAGGGGAGAATGTAACGATCCAGCCGATCATTTTGTATATTTGAGCCACGTTCTCCTATTTGATTTTTTTCGTATGTATATTTATTGTTTTGTGACTTACGAGGCAGATTGGTTTGACTTTGGGAAGGTTCGGAAGTGATTTGGAACACTTAATATCATTTATAGAAGCTTAAGTTATAAGAGTTGACCGAGGTTTCACTATTATGTAAACGACCTCAAAATGGTGTTTTGAAGGTTCTAATAGGTTTGTATGGTGATTTTGGACTTAGGCGTATGTCCGAATTTGGATTTGGAGGTTCCTGGGTTTATTTGGCTGTATTTGGCGAAAGTTAAAAATTTGAAGGTTTGGAAGGTTCATAGGTTTGACTGGGAGTTGACTTTGGTATTATCGGGTTTGATTTGTGGTTCCGGGAGTTGGAATAGGTTCGTTATGTCATTCAGAGATTGTGTGCAAAATCTGAGGTCATTCCGAGTTGGTTAGACATGGTTCGGCATGAATTGTGAAGGTTGGAAGTTGATTAGTTCATTAAGCTTGAATTGAGGTGCGATTTATGGTTTTGATATTAGCTTGGGTGATTTTAGACCTCAAGTAGGTCTGTGTTATGTTTTGGGACTGGTAAGGGTGATTTCGTGTTGTTCAGTGTCATGTAACATTTCTGTTTTTGTGTTTTCAAACCTGGAGGTTGGGTCCACAGGTGCGAGTCCGCAGATGTGGACAGTGGGTCGCAAGTGCGGAGGAAGGTTGGGAAGGAGAAGACCGCAGATGTGAAAGCCTGATCGCAGAAGCGATTGCGCAGATGCACTACTTGGACTGCAAAAGCGGTTGCACATAAGCGGGGGTTTGTCCGCAGAAGCAGAAGGGCGGAACTTAAGTAGGATTCTGCATCTGAGGGAACTTTCCGTAGAAGCGACTTATGGGTACCCAAAAGCGAAATCGCTGGGCAGGTCATATATTTTCGAGGGCTTGAATATTTTTATCATATTTTGAGATTGGGAGCTCGAAATTGGGAGAGTTTTGAGGCGACACCACTTGGACTGGGTAAGTGTTCTTGATTTAGATTTGATATTATTTCATGATCCCATCTTTGATTTTGGCCTTTGATAGATGAAATCTAAGAGAAAAATTGGGGGTTTTGTAAGAAATTTTTTGAAAATGAAATAATGAGATTTGAACCCCGATTTGGAGTCGGTTTTGGATGAAACGTGTGTATTTGGACTTGTATTGGAATGAGTGTTCAGTATTTGTGAATTTTGTCGGGTTTCGAGAGGCGAGCTCGGGTTGACTTTTTTGTTGACTTTGTGCAATTGATTAAATATTCAATATTTATTGTTTGGGTTCGATTTCTATGGCCTTTTTTGATATTGTTGAGTTGTATTTTGTTAGATTCGGCTCTTTCGGAGGTTGATTTGAGAGAAAAGGCTATTTTCGTAGATTAGAGGTTACTGGTGGAGGTAAGTCATTTTGGCTAATCTTGTTAAGAGGTAAACTCCTAGGATTTGACTTGTTTACTATGTGTTTGAGGTATTGGGGGTGGTATATATACGTGGTGGCGTGTGTATATGCATTCACCGAGTTTATATCATGATCGGAGGTAGAAACTGGAATATTTTATGGTTTGTTTCACTATGTGCTCGTTTTATTTATGATTTATTTGACTTATGTGACTACGTTTGCTCTCTTATTAATGATAGAAATCATGCCTAGTCTTGTGATTTATTATGAAGGCATATGAACTTATTCTTGATATGTTAAATTGCTTAAATCGTCTGTAGTCACAAACAAATTCATGAGCACATATCTGTATAATATTTATTAAGTCCTTGTGCACTTTTCATCTATAATTATTCAGCATATAAATACATTTCCAATAATGGATACATGATTTTGACGGAAGATTTTGGCACAAAGGTAAGCGTGCGGGCGAGGTATAATTATGGCACATTGGATATGATGATCGGATATTGATTTATGAGGAATGCTATTATATCCTTCTTCCGCTTGGATTTGGATCCATCCCTCCGAAATCAGGTGATAACCCATGTTATTTCGGGCCCTGTGAACGTGGTCAGTGCAAGAATTTTATACCATGTTGATACATAAATTGTATATTGGGTTGCATTGATACATGGATTGTGTATCGGGATACATAGATCTTGTACCGGTTGTCCATGCATTCTTACTAATGACTCATTTAGAGATATTTATTTCACTGTAAATTATTTTTTGACATCCTTGTATGCCAATTGAGAGTCTCGGCTCCGTTATTTGAGCATGTAGTCTTTTATTATTATATTTGAGCAGTGATAGGGTTATTTATGCGTTAGAAAAGCATGCTTATCCGTTGACATATGTGACTCTTGTCATTCATGATATTACTTATTGTTCAGTTGTTAAATTCTATTATTATACTTGTGTGTAAGTATTCAAAAGTATCTAGCCTGGCCACCACTTCTTCAGGTTAGACTTGATACTTACTGGGTATCATTTGTGGTGTACTTATACTATGCTTCTGCACATCTTTTCATGCAGATCCTCAAGTGGGTCCTACCAGAGCTTCTTGGGCTAAGAGTTATCACGGAGACTTGGGGTGAGCTGCACTTTATAAATCTACTTTGTAGTTCCCGAGTCCATGTTCCTTTTATATATTTATGTCTATTTGTATTTTAGACAGCTTGACATGTATAAATACTTGATCTCATTTTCATAGTTTGCTCGTGTACTTGTACCATCTAGTCTTGGGGATATGTTGTATTGATCATGTTTAGGCCCTGCTTGTGGCTTTATCAGATATTATCATTATTTTGAGACTATTTCTATCTTTTATTGTTATATATATCTGTTAAAAAATGAAAATAGACATTATTTGTTGATTTTGAGTTGGCTTGCTTAGCAAGTTCGGCTAGGCACCATCACGGTCTTGAGGTGAAATTTTGGGTCGTGACATGCGCATTCAGGCATTGGTACCAGCGAAGTCCCGAAAAGTGCTTTGCTTGGATACTTGGGAGACTCGAGGTAGTGCTGCATATCGATCGCACGATCTGGAATCACCTTCATTATCTTTACTACTGTTTATTTGTATCATACAATATTGTATATATTTCAGACTTTCTATTTAGCACTCTTTAGAGCTCATGTACTCAGTAGCTCCAGTCTTGAGGAGTTGTTTAGAGAGTTGTGATGGTTTTAGTCTTATTATGTTGATTAAGGAGCTTTCACTCTTTATTTGTGTTATTAAGCTGCTAAATATTTAGATTTGCTTCTTTTATTAGTGTTAAGTGTTGGCTTGCCTAGCAAGTGGGATTAGGTACCATCAGGACCCCTTGGTTAAGATTTTGAATCGTGACAATTTCTATTGGTGTCATGATATGTTTCCCGTTCTCTTCAAGGTAATGAATGCACTTCTCTTACCTAGCCATAAAGGGAAAAATAGTCTTGACAAAATGAATATATACCATATCCAGCGTTTACCCTAAAAACGGATAACAATTGAATTTATATATGGTTTTAAGGACACGTGATTTTACTTGGCACAAATTGAGAAAATATGCAAATTGATATTGAAATTGACTATAAAGAAAAATAAAAGCAAACCAAATGAGATGTGCGGCTTTGGCCCTCGAGCTAAGTTACCCTCGAACCAAATAAAATAGCAAATGAGATATGAGCAGAGTAACAGAGTATTGAGAACCTAAAGAAAAGAATAGTATACTGTTTTGTATTGCGTGAATATCCTCCCTTTATAAATTATTAGACCCTCTTTATATAGTAGGGGAGTACTACTTATGGTACAATTCTAAATACAGTAAGAAATCCCATGATTGGCTAATTAATCTCTCCTTGATTTGTGCTATCATCTCTGCCGAGATTCTCCCCCTAATTGCGGCTACAACGGCTTTTTTGTTTCTTGGCTCGATCTTGATCCTGGCCGATCTCGATCTTGATCGGTCTCTGGGTCTTCGAGCTCGATCTTGGCCGACCTCGATCTTGATCAGTCTCTGGGTTTCAAGCTCGACAATATATACTTTGTACCATGGCTCCATATTATAATGATGAACCTCAGACCATCATGTTTCAATCTCGATTAAAGATACGAAGGGAAAAACTCGATTTTGACCGTATACAAATAGTCCCCTCGTTTCTTGGAAAGAAGATAACGAGAAACGATATGAATTTTCGGACTCCGACTTTGTGGATGATGATGTCAGCGATGGGCCCGATTATAACGTATATAACAAACGTCCCGCCGGTCCAGTTACCAAGGCATTAAATGCCTGTCAGTCGTTGGTCGGCCACTACCGGTTCTGAACCATCATCACCAGGCTATAAATATTCACACTTTCATCCTCATCCAAACTTTTCACTCAAAAACCTTTTCTCTACTCTTGCATCTTCTTCAAAACATCCCTTTGCTTCATACATTTTACATCATATACAACCCTAATTCTCGTTCCCTTTGTTCATCAATGGCGAAAACCTCCAGAATGGTGCCATAAAAAAAGGCCGCTTCTTCATCACGACCCGCCGGCAGCGAGGATGCGGCGGAGCCTCGCCCTGAGGAATTCATTCTGGTAGGGTGCTCAACTGTCATCGATTTTAAGGTTGAAAAACCTTCTTTTTTACCGGGCCGATATGAGCCGATCTCAAGGTACCAGTGTTCACTCACCAAGAAAATTCTCGATAAAGTAAAACAGGAATGCAACTGGGGCGACAAGCACGTGGTAGTCCTATCACCTGAAGAATCAATTACTACCCCCGTGGAAGTGTTCTTAAGTGTTTATACTTATCCTTTTACGTTGGGTTTATTAGACCTTGACATCGTTGCCTTTTGCAAGAGATACGACGTGACCCTTAGACAAATCCACCCTTCTTTTTGGAGCAAAGTGATTCTTCTTCGATTCTTATCAAGAAAAAATGAGGGGTGTCTTTTCACCCTCGATCACCTTATGCACCTTTATAGTCCCTGACTCTATCAAGGAAGGTTAATCAGGCTTGCTCACTGAGCCACCAAAGCGCCGTTCTCAAGAATAGACGAGACTCTTGATCGAGGTTGGATGGGCCGATTTGTTCGAGTCAAAACCTCGGACCTGATCCTTGTCGATGACATGCCATTTCCTGAGAAATGGAATATGAGTCGTGAGTACTTATTTCCCTTCGAGCATTTTAATTTGTGACTGCCTTTTATTTTCTTGATCCACGTTTTCTTTCTTGTTACAGCTGTGGCTCGGATGCCGGAATCGATTTCGGGTCTTAAACAATGAGTTGAAGGTCTGGTGCTACAGAGACCGTACTCCTAGTGCTCTTGGATGGAACTATCAAAGGGTCGATGGGAGGCCCACAGTCATGGTAAGTCTCTTTCTTAATTTGTTTGTCATTTTTCTTCTTCACTTGCTTACCTCCTTTTTTCCCTTTGTAGGACTTGGGAAGGATGTTTCCATGAGACCCTTATTTGTTGATGAAGAGGTCCCTTCCCCGAAGTAGGTTAAAGAGAATAAGAGAAAAAATGCACCGAGTTCCCCGGTCTCGGAAAAGAAAAAACCGACAAAGAAATCTCGCAAGCCCAAGGGGGGCTCCAGTATCATGCATCCGGACTCGATCCACCGATTAAAGGATGAGCCCAAAGAAGGAGAAGAGGAATTAGCCTGTGTACGGGCTAATGTTGTGATACAACAATCCTTCGAATCGGCAGAGGTAGATAAGGGAACCCTGGCCATAATTCCTCAACAAGTAAATGCCGAGACTATCCCGTCTCGAGCTGAGATGGTTGAAGGGGAGACCGAGGGCAAGACTTCTCGAGCAGCAGAAGATATCTCGAGGGACGAGCTTGGGGTAATCGACATTAGCGGATCCCCTCAGATTTCGGATGCTATGATCCGTGAGGCCAACATGTTGGAAGGTCGATCTTACGAGGGTATTCAGGAGTCGACCGATATCCACGGCTTTCTGGATGGGCTCGAGTTAGCTGTCTCAGAGGACATTATCGGGTTCAGTGGATTATCGGTAACGAAGAAAGCATCATGGTCGGGCTCTACCGGGTCTTCATCGGTTCCAAAACAGGTGGACCGATTCCTGGCCCCGAGTGTTAATCCCATTCATAAGCGGAAGATAGTGTTCTCCGTCCCGGAGGATGCCCGAATTTTCTCTCCCCCTGTGGGGATTGCTAGTTACCTTCGGTCCTTGGTGACCGAAGAGGATCAAACTGTGATGAATGCGGTAGGACCCGCTTGCCTTTTTAACGAGGCTCGAAATGCTCTGAATAGGGTAACTTCAATGGTATCTCTGTCGTTTCCTTTACACTTAGAGTTGTAGATAATTCTAACATCTTTTTCCATGTTTGTAGGCTTCGGTGTTGCATAACAAAGCATTCCTACTAATCCGGGAGGAGCATGAGGTTGAAGTTCGGAACCTCACTGAGAAGAGTGACTCCTACAAACTTCTTAGTAAAAAGCTTCGGGCAGATTTAGCAACGGCTCGAGATGAGCACGAGGAAATAGCTGAGAAGGAATTCCGAATTCTTCACAATAGTGAAGATGAATTGGAGATAACTACTAATGATCTGATTCTGCAGGTTCGGCAGAGTCTCGAACAGATTAGACAGCTCAATTCGCGGGTAGATGAGCTACTAGCCAAGGCGGAAAAATTCAAAGAGAATATGGACATCCTTGCCTCGAAAAAAGAGGTCGTCCAAGACCAATTGGATTTGGCTGAGACCCAGCTTCGGGCTATAGAAGAAAATGCCTCGATGCAGATCGAGAAGATTAAGGAGCTTTAGCATCGATTGGATTTGGCCAATGCTGATAAGGCAGGTTTGGCCGATGAACTCGAAGTGGCCAGATCCGATGTGGCTGTAGCCAGATCTGAAGTGGCTGTAGCCAGATCTGAGGTGGCCGAGGCTAATAAAAGAGCTGATGCTAAAGTGGCCCAGTTCAGGATCGATGTTGAGGTCAACCAGGCCAAGGCCAAGAGCATGGTCGAACATGCTAAATGGCAGGCTCGGAGGGAAGTTCTCGAGGAGGTCAGTGCTCAAGGCTTCGATGTTGCGGCCAAAATTGAAAATTTCAAGGTGGAGGAAACCAGAGCCCGAAGGCTAGCCTTCCCTAAGGAATACTCCGAGAGCTCGAGCGAATCTGAGGACGGAGAAAATCCCGAGGACGCAACCTCCGATGAAAACCAAGCCACTTAGGATATTAGGTTTCTTGTTTTTCTTTTGTATCTTTTTTGGGGCCGATTCGGCCTTTTGTAAAAAAAAAACTTTTGAATATATATATAAGGCTTTTCTTGCTCTTTTTATTCTTGTATTTTTCTTTTCTTTTCTGTATTTTATTAAGGTCGAAAATGCCTTAGCATAAAATTGTATCCGAGGTTTAGAAATTTTGATTGGAACCGAACTAGTATAGCCCTTAGGTTTTTCGATCGAGCGAGTGCTTGATTGAACTCAAAGTAATGTAGCCCTTAGGCTTTTGTAAGAAAGGTTGTTTATGGCTTTCTCCCCTTTTCGGCTTGAAAAAGTTTTTTATCATTTGTATTTGCAAAAAACTCGTAATGCCTTAGCTCGAAATAAGGAATCATTCAAGTGTTCGAACAATTTTGTACCCATTAGAGTTTTCGAGGCTTGATATTATCGAAGCCTTTTATGATTTTGTCGGGGGTAGCTTTTTAATCGGTTTATGAAAGAATTCGAAGGCATGTTTTGTTATGGAATTCGAATGTCTCCGACCCGTGTTAATTTGGCCGTAGCATCTTTAGTTTGGGATTTTCCCCTCGGGCTTATTTTCCCATTTTATTTTGATTTTTCCCGAAGTGTCAGTCCCTGAGTGGGTTGGCCGTGGCCT